AAAAAAAAATATGGTACAGCTACTCTGGGGATAAAAAAAAAGATTAAGAAGTATTTTCTTCCAATTTATTACTCACCTTTCAAATTTCTTTATGGCATTTTTGCCATACTCCACCTTCCCAAAAAAATGCTTTGAAATTTTCTATGTAGTCCAATTTATAAGTCTTTTGATTTATTGATTTGGATTTTGACTGAGAGATAAAAGTTTGTTCACTCCTATTATATAAGAGAATTCCATAGGCCAGGCACAGTGACTCATTCCTGTAATCCTAGCACTCTGGGAGGCCGAGGTGAGTGGATTGTCTGAGCTCACAGGTTTGAGACCAGCCTGAGCTAGAGTGAGAGCTCATCTCTAAACATAGCTGGGCATTGTGGCTGGCACCTGCAGCCCTAGCTACTCAGAAGATTGAGGCAAGAGGATCTTTTGAGCCCAAGAATTTGAGGTTGCTGTGAGCTATAATACCACAGTACTCTACTTAAGGTGAAAAAGTGAGACTCTGTCTCAAATAAATAAAAATAAAAGAATTCAATAATGTTTGTATCTACCATTTATGTCATTTAAACTTTTTTTTTTTTTGAGACAGAGTCTCACTATGTCACACTCAGTAGAGTGCCATGGTGTCACAGCTCACAGCAACCTCCAATTCTTGGGCTCAAGCGATTCTCTTGCCTCAGCCTTCTGAGTAGTTGGGACAGGTGCCTGCCACAACACCGGCCGTTTTATTTTGTTCTTGTTGTTGCAGTTGTCAGTGTTGTATAGCAGACCCATGCTGGGCTTGAACCTGCCAGCCCTGGTGTATGTGGCTAGCACTGTAACCACTGAGCTACAGGCACCAAGCCCATTTAAACTTTTTAAAATTTACGTATCTCATGCATTTGGAATTTATCCTGGTTTGTAGTATAAGAAATTATAAAATATTACCTTTTTTCATTGGCTATCTACTTATCCTAGCACCACTGCAATTGATTCGAGGTACTTGCCTTTATGTTATACGAAATTTGCACATGCAATTGGGTAGGGACCCAGACGGTTGATTTGGTTTCATTAGCTACCCTATTCATGCACTAAGCTTGTCTGAATTACACTAAGAGAAGCTTTAACGTGCTTTATTATCTGCTAGGCCTAGTACCTCTTATTGTTGTTCTTTCACAGGGTTTTCCTGGGTATTACTGCTTGTTGTTCTTTCAACTAACCTTTACCTACAGAAAAAACTAAGTGATATTTATATTGGGATCATATTACATTACCTCCTTAACTTGGGAAGAACTGATTTTTTATGAGGTGAAGTCTTCCTATCTAAACTTACAGTATGTCTTCTTATTTGTAGGGGAGTATTTTTTTTTAAGATGAGAGACAGGGTACACTATTGTTTGCTGGTAAGAATGATCCACAGGGAAGGAGATACTGATGATGCTCAAAGAGTGAAACAACTTCTGACTAATGCCCTGGAGTGGGTCAGAGGGGATGGGGCCTTGTGCATGACTAGAGAGAAGACCTTCTCTTCTGATGACTTCTATCTTCTCCATGAAAGAGGAAGCAAGGTCATCAATTGAGAGTGAGAAGTAGGGAAAAGGTATTGGAGGCTTAAGGGAAAAAGAAAAAAGTATAAAATTGGTATCCAGAAGAAAAACAGAGCCAGGGTTTCTAAATATAGTGGGGAGAAAAGAATAACATAGAAGGAAAAGATTTCCTAGAATTTCAGAGGCTACATTCTGTTGGAAGAGAAATAAATCTTTGTACTCACCCATGAAGTCTTAAAACAGGAATAACAACAAGGTTGCCAGATTTGACAATCTCTTTAGGAGGTAAACTGGGGAATCTGGAAATTACGTGGACATTTTAAGTAGTGTCCTTTCTTTCTTCTTTTTTTTTTTTTATTGAATGGTAACTATGTACATAAATGCACTTCTGGGGTACAGCGTGGGGTTTTCACATGCAATCTGAAATACTTCCATCAAGCTGGTCAACACAGCCTTCATGTCATTTTCTCAGTTATTGCTTTAAAACATTCACATTCTACTCTTAGATTCACCTGTACCCCTAGTAGTGTCCTTTCATTTTTAAGTGATTTCTGCAGTACCTGCATACTCACCACTTCCTCTGAGAACACATGTCTTTTCACAAATCTTGATACATTTCCTTCTGCAGCATCTGCTAGTTCCTTTATGAGGGTTTCCAACATATTTGACTGGATATGGATTATAATCTGAATGTTAAAAAAGAAACAAGGAAAAATAAGACTGAGCCAGTACCTCAGTGATGAGAAAGGTACCTGGTTAGATAAATTTGCATTTATAGGCACTCACCCTGCTTTGATGCTATTTCTTAATTTATTTATTTGTACAAGTTCAAAAAAGTGCTTTGAACATAAGCTCACTAACCAAAAAATGCTTTCCAATAGTCAGTCAAAATACCACAACTTCAAACCTTGCTGAAGGGTAACACTGGGGAGAGGATGGATTTTGGTGTTTGGATCCTTGGGCTGAAATCCAGATGCTGGCTCAGTATTAGCTATGTGACTCTGGGCCGGGTATCTAATTGGACTTTCAATGCCCTCATTTGCAAAATGGGGAAAGTACATTTAGATCTCCTATTTTGTGAACATTAAATGAGACAGGAGCACATAAGAGATACTCAATAAACAAAAATATCAGGTTCCCCCTTCCTATATCCTCTAGATTCAGAAGATTCTGATAATCCAACAGTCTCATAAGACTGGGTAGGAACAAACAGGCTGTTGTTAGGAAACTGGAGGCACGAAGATTACCGCAGGCATAGAGCAGAAGCTGCCTGAGGTCTTAATGAGACAGTCCTATTTACACTGTTAAGGAATTTTCAAAACCTGTTACCATACTGTGCTTTCAAAATGACACTACCACCTACCTTCCACCAGATAGGTACAATTGATGCAAGGAAAGAAATAACAATTTTGTTTTCCCTAATTACCAATTCACTAGACAATTTGAAAAACAGAAAAAGGTTTAAAGAACATGAAAACAACTATGAAAATGAGGTTAACTGAGAATTCACCAACCAATGTTAACCACTGTTTATAATTTGATGATTACCTTTCAAATATATTAATATATGTAAAACATTATAACCAACAGACACCGTATCCCATCTTGAGCAAAGGGCAGGCATGCTCACTGCCCTTCATAAGAGATTTGGGTTCCCTAAGCTTAGGGTTCCTCTCTTAAAATGCATCCTCCTGTGTGTCCAAGAGGCCTATAGGGCTTTTCACGTCACCCTGAGGGAAGTGGGCTCAAGAAACTGAGGCAGGGCAGCGCCTGTGGCTCAAGGAATAGGGTGCCGGCCCCATATGCTGGAGGTAGTGGGTTCAAACCTAGCCCCGGCCAAAAACCACAAAAAAACAAAAACAAAACCAAAAAACCAAAAAACCAACAACAACAACAACAACAAAAAAGGTTAAAAAAAAAAAAAAGAAACCGAGGCAAAGACGCTGGCTGTTGCTCCACTAAACCGTCCTTCATTTCTCAGTGTCTTTTGTACTTACTAGCATCCATGAAACCAGGCCAGGCTAAGTTATCAGCTTGCAAATGGGGTAAAATCTCCAACTCTTCCCAATTTTTTATACCCTTGTTTATAAAAACCAATCACAATTTGGTTGGCAGTGGTCTGACTTCTCAAGGGCAAAGACAAGTATACCTTGTTGAATGTTACATCTCCACTGCTGGGCACCCAGTAGACCTTTTATAATGAACAAGGGTCTCCTAGCAATTTACAAAGATAAACCACCTAGAGCCCTATGCTAGAAATGATGTGCTTCTGGAAGATTTAACATTTCTTCATACGTTTTCCCAACTTCTCTTCCTGCTCCAGCAACTATCTCTGACTTAAAAGGGATTTCAAGAATAAGGTTCACTATCTCAAAATACACTGATGAAGGGCACTTATTGGTGAAAGGCAAAGAGAAAGTACAGCTAGAGGCTTGTCTAGTTAAAGAAAACTAAAGCAGGGTACAGCACATTGCTTTAATCTCATAGGTTTTAAACAAAAGATTAGGAAAAACTGAATTAGCAAGGAACACTGGAGTATTTTGGTAAGAAAAACTATTTAAAGAACACATACTTCCTGCTCCTCTGATTTTCTGAGGCCTCAGGAAATGATAACAAGTTACCGGATACCTTTGGCCAAAAAAGAAACAGAAAGCCTGAGCATAAAGAAATTTCCATTTCTTGCCTCTTTTATTTTCAAGTTTGCTATATTTGAAGTAGAATATCATAAGGTGATAGAGGCTGCAATATCCATTGTTATCTTTTGTTTTGATAACAGAACTCCCCAACTTTAATTAATGGCATCATATATGAACTTCAAAGACTGTATTTCTCAAAATTCTTCACAACTAGGTGTAGTCATGGGATTAAATTCTGGCCATTAACACATAAAGTATAAGTTGTTGGAGGAGACATTTGGGAAAGTATCTTTAAAAGGGACCAACTTTATTTGTTCTCTCTCATTTTTCCTCCTTCTTGCTGTACCAGGGACGTAATGGATGGAAGTCATATGCTTAGGAGAGTAGAGATACAGACACAGGTTAGGTGCCTGATGACATCGTGGAATGTCACACAGACCTGGAATGACCACGTCTGAGCTTTTCACAAGGAAGAAAAATAAAGCCTTCAATTTGTAGAGAGTCTTTTGTTTTCTTGGAGTCTCTATTATTCCCAAACCAAATACAATTGTTGACTTACCCATATGAGTAAAATTCTGCTACAAAGGGATTTATAAGAAGTAAGCACTATCTCCCTTCCTACCTGTGCAGCCTGAGACTTTCCAGCATGTAAGAACTTTAGAGCAACCTTAGTAGGGAGGAGAATGGAGTATAAAAACATTCACCTGTGTTAACAAATAAATGATAAAAGTAGCAAAACCACCTATCAATTCCCTTGAAAGGTAAATTCAATTCCAAAATGGGTCTCTATTTGCAGACTTGCCAGATTTTCTAGAATAATAATTAGAATTCAAACAGAATCTGTGGAAAGTTACCTGCCTTGGTCTCTGCTACTTTCAGACATATTTGGAAGTGGAAATGAATCCTTTGAGGTTGAGCAGCATTGCTAAAGAGGGGCTCAGGGTCTTTTAAGATTGAGGGTTTTAAATTAAGACTGAAAGGGTAGAGTCAACACGCCTGTATTTTGATGAGCTCTGCTAAATTGAAGTAGTATGTACTAAGCATTAGCTGGGAAAATAGAAAATGAGGTCCTCTGGGTCATATTGGCAGCAGGAGCAACTTATATTTTAAAAAAATAAAAAAAAAACCTAAGTGACAAAATTAGCTAAGTTCAAATTTCAATTGGCAGCTGAAAAAGATTATAGCATAAGGCATTCATTTTTTAAGTAATCAGAAAAAAACTTCATTTATTTTTGCTAATACTAACTGAACAGACTCTCTACTCAGCCTACTTGTCAGGTTTCCACTTCTTACTAATTAAAAAATTGCCTTTAAGGGCTCGGCGCCTGTGGCTCAATCGGCTAAGGCGCCAGCCACATACACCTAGGGTGGCGGGTTCGAATCCCCAGCCCAGGCCCGCCAAACAACAATGATGGCTGCAAACAAAAAAAAATGGCCGGCGCTGTGGTGGGCGCCTGTGGTCCCAGCTGCTTGGGAGGCTGAGGCTGGAGACTCGCTTGAGCCCAGGAGTTGGAGGTTGCTGTGAGCTGTGAGGCCATGGCGCTCTACCCAGGGGGATAGCTTGAGGCTCCGTCTCAAAAGAAAAAAAAGAAAAAATTGCCTTTAAGGATCCCAAGTAGATCCTTGGAGAAGGTATGGTCCAATAAGCCATTTTGTAAAAGTATGCTCTAATATGATAGCTGAACTTGACAATGGCACCATGACTTTTTCATCATCCCTGAGGAAGATGAGAGAGGCTTATATTATCAGACAACATGAGAAATTATGATTAAACATTTAGGAAACTTTCCTGAGAATTTTCAAATAATCAAACAATCTTTAAGTTTCCTGGCAGTGGATAATTCTGTGACATAGTTTCTGAGAGGATGATGCACGGTCAAAATCAATTCAGGTTCCTCCCATGTCCCTGCTCCCCCAGGTCTATTGGCCAAGTTTCCTTTCCAGCTCTCAGAGGAGATGAGCAGCTCCTGGTGCCTGGCATGGGAGTGCTGCGCCCTTCCCATCATGCTTTGCCTTCCTCCCTCTCCTGGGAATGGACAGCTTCATGCTCAGCAGGCTTACATCTAACTCCACTTTCTCATTTAAAAAAAAAAAAAAAATCACTACTAGATTCTTGTAACAAGATAGACCAAGATTGAAAGAGATGAGAAATCTAAATCCTCTAAATATATGGAGGTATATTACATGCCCTAGTGGCTATCAGTTTTGGACACCCAATTCTCTGTTCTTTTCATTATTTAAGAGGGTCCCTAAGAGAGGCAAACACTTCTCATCTCCCTTGGTTTGGAGTGGTGGGGAAACCCTCTCAGACAGAATTGTTGGTGTTGAAACCCTGACTCTGCTATTTAATTAACTGAGAGAACTTTGGTAATTTACTTGGCCTTGAATCTTCATCTATAATATGGAGAAATACTGTTTTGACAGGGTTCTACAAAATGAACTAATGAAGTATCTAGCATGGCCTTTAGCTAAATTAAATGAAAGCCCTGCCTATTTCATGCTCTTCAATGCCTTACCACCAATCCTTATTGATTCCTCCAATCTCAACTCAGCTTTTGGAAGAGCTACCAATAACCCACATAAAATGTCTCTCTCCATGATCTCCTGTTTTTCCTACCTGATGCTATGAACCTTCTGAATAGTTTTAGTGGAAGAGTCCCTTGCTAATCCCAGCAGTCCTATCCTGTGCCATCACGAAATTGGTGCCATCTGCAGACCATTCCCTCTCAGAAACAGTATGCACTACACCAGAGCAGTCCATATTCAGCAAGCAGCAGAAATCAAAGATAATCTGGCGCCTGCCGGAAGACTGAGCTTCCCAGTCTGTCCGGCTTGCTGGTATCGCTGGCTCAAGTGATCTGAACTTTTGGACTCTAGATCTTTGCCAGCCTCACCCTTCCAAACCTGCTTCAACCTGTGAGTTCTGGGGGCTAATGGACCCCACTCCTAGCCCCTGTTGGACCTGCAGTTTCTGCTTTGGCCCTCAGCCTGAAGGGAAGCCATCTGCAGTGGCTGTGAGGGGCGGGGCTCTTAGCCATCTTGGATGACTAGACAGGTGCTATTTCTGTTCTTTTCTTTTTTTTTGAGACAGTCTCACTTATGTCACCCTCAATAGAGTGCCGTGACATCACAGCTCATAGCAACCTCCAACTCTTCTCTTGCCTCAGCCTCCCAAGTAGCTGGGACTACAGGCGCCTGCCACAATGCCCAGCTATTTTTTTGTTGTGATTCTCATTGCTGTTTAGCTGGCCCAGGCCAGGTGTGAACCCGCCACCCTTGGTGTATATGGCTGGTGCTGTAACCACTGTGCTACAGGCACTGAGCCAGGGGTTATTTCTTGGCTATCTTTTTTGATGCTTTTTCTGCATTTACCATTCATACCTTATAACTCATTTCTGAGTCCTTTGACTCCCCTTTCTTACAGCATTTATCAGCTCTTATCAGCTCCACTTCAGGTGTATACAAACGAGTTCTGAACTCACAGCTTTGACACTCTTCCCCCTTTAAGCTCATGCCCTTTACAAACTGAAAAGTGTCTTGGTGGGTATCTTTCTAGTATTTAATCTCTTTCCTTCCAAACTCATCACTTTTTTTCAGGTTCTCTGTTATTAGTCTCCACACTTCTGGTTCCTCAGGCTCATCCTTCCCTTACTTGAAAGCATTTTGAAAATAAATGTGAGGTCCAATAGAAGGTCACCACGGAGTCTTATCTAGTACTTCTCTGAAAAGTCACCTGGGAAGTGGTATCGGGGTGATATCTGAAGATTACCAGAGTTGAAAGTCATCATTACCTTTAAGTGTTACTACTCCTTTCCAGAAATTTGGAGTTAAGCTTAATTCCTATTCATTGGGTTCTAGGATTTGTTACAAATGGATATTCCTTTTTATTTAACTCATGTCAAACAAATACTATTTGTATTAGGAACATTCAAAGATCATTAACCATATACCAGGCACTGTGCTAACAATGAATACATGCATTATTTCTTTTAATATGTACAAAAAAGGAGAGCTACCATTACTGTTCAAGATCAAAGGATATTAAGGTTTTCTGAGATGAACTAACCTACCTAAGGATTCAGAGCTCGTCAGAGGTGTGGTTCAGTTAACAGTTCATATTCTTTTGTATAAAACCAACCAAGAATGCCCTTCTCCTTCAGCCCTCCAACCCTAGAGCCCTGCCCGACAGTCCCCTTTTCCAGGGTCTCCTCAGAGAGCTCTGGCTGCTCTTTCCTCAGCAGCCAGAACACTCTGTCTCCCCTGCTGCTCCCTCATCTTGGAACATTCCATTGCTGTGACCTGTTATCCTTGTTATCCCAATTCTTGTCCTACTGGAGTTTGCACATTTCCATTCTTTTGAAAACATTTCTCCTATCTCAACCCTTTGTTTCAGGAGACTATAGGGTCTTGAAAGTTGGAAGCTTTTGTCTTGCAACTCTCCACACACAGACAGACCCAGCACACAGCAGGGGCTCAACAGGAGTTGCTGTGTGGGGACTCTAGTGTCTTAATGGCAAGATATTGGTCTTTTTAAAAAATTTGTCCCAGAAGATTTAGGTGACTAACTGCTCAAACGCTGGGAATGGTTAACAGGATATACTTTGACCTTTATTACTGGAGTGAACCTTGTGAGTCAGTTATAAATTTGTTTTTTCTTTGTTTTTAGTTTTAGGGATAAAGGTTTTTTACACATTTGATGGTATCTCTGTAGCCCCTCGATAACTCAAACAAGACCCCAAATAATGGGTTGATGGGCCATCATGGACCAACAACATAAAGAGAGTGAAAATAACTAACATTTATTGAATGCTTACTGTAAGTGTATTAGATTAGCTCATTGATCACGATGATGGCCATGAGTTGGGTACCAATAAAGAGACTGGAGATTCTATCTTCATTCTTTCCTTCTCTCCACATCTGTATCCAAGTCTCACACTTCAGTATTTATCCATGTCTTCTATCTGAGCACATCTGCCTTTCCCATCTATTTATAAACTCCTAGAAGCAATGGCTGTGTTAACTCCTTTCTTACAGGAGTAATGCGTTAATTTTCACAAGAGAGGAGCTCCAGAATTGCCTTCTAATCTTAATGAAGACCCTGGCAATCAAATCACTGTACACAGTCCAAAGGCTTACATTAAACCATAAAGAAGTTACTTACCTTTAAATTAGCGCAAGCTATGCTTTCTGGATTCATGATTTGAGAATAAAAGGATGTGGCTTTTTCCACCTGGTTCTAGAAGAAAAAAAAAATAAGTCATTCCCCAAATCCTTTGAACACTACTCGCTATCACAGAGATCATTTACAGAAGGCAGGATATTCCTATTCATGGGGCCCTAGGATTTTGAAGTCAACAAAGACAGTTTTTTGGGTAACCAAAAATAAGTATTCCATAAAATGTTTCATCTAGTGATGTATTATTGAATGTTTCATTATAACAACCTGCCTAAGTCCAGTTTTTAACGTACAGGCATAAAGTCTCCCATTGGAATCAGCTTCAAAAACTTAGGAATGAGAAGAAAGATGCAAACCCCATCTCTGAGATGCAAAATTAGAACACAGAAACCTCAAACTACCGCAGCGGTGAAGCACTGCCAGAAATGCAGGAGATGGAGCTGGGGTGGGCTCAGAAGAAAGCAGCCAGAGGAGGACATGTCTGTGTATCTCAGAAAGAGCCCACAGAAGCACATTTCTTTTCTTTTTCTTTCTTTTTTTTTTAAGAGACAGAGTCTCACTCTGTTGCCCTTGGTAGAGTGCCGTGGCGTCCCAGCTCACAGCAGCCTCCAGCTCTTGGGCTTAGCTGATTTTCTTATCTCAGCCTCCCGAGTAGCTGGGACTATAGCCAGCCACCCCAACGCCCGGCTATATTTTTGTTGCAGTTTGGCCAGCGCCCTACTCACTGAGCCACAGGCACCACCCCAGAAGCACATTTCTTAGGGCTGGGGGCACAACCTGAAGGACAAAACTTAAATTTCTATTTACAACAAGGGGACTAGTGTGTAGGACCTAGTAAGGAGAACCTCCCTAGATCCTGTGGTGGTAGAGGTGAGGCTAACCAAGGATTTCTAAAGATAAGCCACATTCACAGAAGTGATGGCAGCAGCAGAGAAAAGAATATTCATGAACATGACTTCAGTGCCTATTCCCATCAACTAGGAAGAAAAAAGCCTGTGCACTCTCACAGACAACACTCGGAGTGACGCAGGGAAAGCCTGTTGTCTATAACAGGTCAATGGTGCCTGCAAACAGCTGGTCTAAAAGAAACTTACATCTTTCAATGGCAAGTAATCAGAAAAGAACCTCCATAAAGATAATATTTTGAAAAAGAAAGAAAAAAGTACAGTAAAACAAAAAAAGAAAATAACTGGCAGACTAAGAAACCCTATTAGAAAAACATTTCCATGGGCATGGAGGACAGAAATAAGAAAAATGAATAAGGTCACAACAGTAAGAAGTGGGAAAAAATCTGGCAGGTCCCAGACTTCCCCACAGCAACATCCCATACATTTTACAAAGAGGCGGCCAACATGCAGAGAGTATTTTATAAAATTTTGTAATGAATATTTGGCAAATAAAGGTATTTAGCTACAATTTCCCATTTCCCCTATGTATGGTGACTTTAGGGGCAACTTTTGGGACACAGCTTAGAAAATACTTTAATTCATCTCACTCAGCTCATGACAGATGAAGTAGACAAAGTAATTTCCCTGGACAAAGAGAGAAGCTTAGAAAGTTGAAGAAATGGTGATGGCCCAGTTGAAGCCTGGTAAGGGGGCATCCTCTTAAGTCTTCATTCTTCAGTGACTTTTCCCAGCAGTATATGGAAGTGGGATCACCCTCGTATTTTGATTTCTAACTAATGATAAACAAGAGCCAGGTATACGCACGTATTTATCAACCTGGTAAATAACCTGGCTTGGTTACTATTTTTCTGTACTAAAATTGCCTCTTACTACATAGTAAATGTGTAAAGTACTTCATATTTTTTAGGCTTTGGAATAGGACATCTTAGAAGAAGGCGGGGGGGGGGGTCTCTGATGAAAGAAAGAGTGTTAGGGCTCCAGCTGTAACTCTGTACTTCACTGAGGTGTAACCTCAAGGAGGTCCCCTCTTCTCTCTGGGTCTCAGCTGCTTCTATCTGTGCAGTGAGGGGAGCAGCTCTGTGATCGCTAAAGCCTCATGCAAGTAATAGTAGTTGGGACTAATAAGGAAATATATATATGATGAATCCCACGTCCATAACGGGCTAACCCACAAGCCCTCATTCATCTGAATGAGATGGATTCAGCTTTGGAGAGCATTAAATTAAACCACTTTTTGAGAATATTACAAAGTAAACGGATCACTGCAATTTTCAATTTAATTACCTGAGAAATTTCTCTCAGGGTACAGCTTTCCTCCCAGATTCTCTGCAAGATCTTGGCCAACACTATAAATGAAAACATTCTTTGCAGGCATAAGTATAGATGTAGGTTGCCACAGCAACAAAGGCATTGGGTACAGTGAGGGGAGCAGCTTTTGGGGGGGGGGCACTTTTTATTAACAATATAGTCAGGAAGGGAAAAGCTAAAGCAAGAACAAATGAAAGTAGTGAAGTTCTGCCTACCCAGTTTACACAGGTGCCCCCCAAAGCCTTACCTGATTCAGAGCTAATGCCACGGCGAAACAGGATGCTCTCCTGGAGAGAACGTCTCCTTTGATCAGAGCTTCTTCTCTTAACATAGTACACATTTTGAGAGATTCGGGGCTATTCTGTGAGGAAATAAGATTGCTCGATAAATGTCATGAATCTTTAAGTGTAATAAAATGAATAACGGTGCTTATAGTTCAGATTTTCTTTTGTAAGAATTTCCCAGGGAGCATCTCAGAACACTTCAAAAATTAAACTCCAGGGTGGTGCCTGGGGAGTAGGGCGCTGGCCCCATATACTGGAGGTGCCAGGTTCAAATCTGGCCCTGGCCAAAAAACTGAAAAAAAAAAAAAGTTTAAAAATTAATCAATTAATTAATTAATTAAGCTCCACATAGAGCAGGAGTATCCGACCTTTTTTTTTTTTTTTTTAATCACACTGGAAGAATAAGAATTGTCTTGGGCCACACATTAAATATACAAACACTAATGAAAGCTCATTAGCAAATAAAAAGGTCTGTGTCTACTTTTTGTGATAACTGACACCATAGATAAACAAAAAAGTCTCCACAAAATGAGTATGTTGCCCCCGGGCCACAGATTGGACATCCCGACATACAGACTATTTGCAATTCGCCCAGGTTATTGACATGTTAGTGGCTGGAATCTAAATTAACTTTATTTTCAAGCTCCTTGTCAATTTTCTAACTTGGGGCAGTTCTCATCGGCAAACATACAGGTCTCTTTGTATAAATATGGGCCCCATAACTAAAAGTACAGAGTCAGCTGTTGTATCAAACAGCAGAGCAAGGTCTAACAACACCAGGAAACTTTCCAGGTGGATTTCTAATCTGAAAATATCCACATAAGTCCAATATTTGAAAACATGAACACTGATTTGAACATAGATTATCAAAGAATCCCATGAAAATAGAAACCTTAAAAAAAAGGAATATGCATGATACAAAAACCAGCAAGACAGCAATGGTCTGTACATGTTGTAGGTGGAGAAGATTTAAGACAGTGGCATCTGTGCACCTCTGTCTGTCATGACATGTGTCACAACTCAAACCCTCAAAATCAAGTCTGAGTTTGATGAGCCATAACAGCTCCCAGAAGTGATGAGGAACTGGTACTGGACAATGGGCTCAATTTTTCAACTCATCTTCATGGAGTGAAACAAGTTATGCTTGGACCCAACACTGGAGAGAAAAGTGCTCTGGCTCTTCCTAAGTAGAATTAAATTCTTCCTACTTCAGCGTATACTCAGGGAGCCACCCTCACGTTGACAAGAAAACTGGGAATTACAATGCTGAGTAACTGATGCTCTCTGGTGCCACGTATTCTGTGGCCTTGTGTTTTACAGAATCATAGAATGGTCTGAGGAAAGGATTATCCAATCCAGGGGTCAGCAAACTATCCGAGGGCCATATCCAGCCTACACCAAGAAAGGTTTTTACATTTTTAAAGGCTTGTAAAAACAAAGAAGAGTGTGTGTCAGAGACCACATGTGGAAGAGACTGTATGTGGGCCCCAAAGCCTCAAGTATTTACTATCTGGATTTTTATACTAATAAAAAAAGTGTGCTGACACGTGAATTCAACTCTCTCATTTTACAAATGAGATAAGTGATCAATTCAGAGCTATATAAGCCAGTTAATATTAAAGTTGAGACCATAGTCCAAATTTCTCAATTCCCAGTTGGTTTTCTCGCCACTGCAACCCAGCTGTCCCTCATTTCGGAAAACTGGATTGCTACACTCTGTAGGGAAGGTTTTCATGGCCTATTGTCTTCTACCTCGCTTGGCGTTCCTTTGTTTTCTGTATAAGGTTTCCAAAGTCAGGTTACGGTAATACATTGAATCTTGGTTATGTCACTATTTCAGTTATCATTCATTCATTCAGTAAGTACTGAAGAAAAAGTTTCTATGTGCAAGAAACAATCCTGGTACAGTAATGATAAAAGGACTTTTAATAAGTCAGGTCTCTGTCTTCAAGGAGTTTATTTTAAAGTCACATATATTTATTAAAGACCCAGACACTGCGTTAAGTGCTGAGATATAAAGAAGTCTCAAGGACCTCATACTAAAGTGAGGAGAGTGGATCCTGCATCCACTAAGAACAAGATCAGCCCCTGTTACACTTACCAGGTAGGTGATATATATATATATTTTTGTACAAAAGGTCTTTATTGGTGGGGGGAGGAAGGATGCAGAGCAGCCCCAGGGAAGAGAGAAAAGAGAAGAGAAAAGAGGAGAAAAAAGAGGGAAGAGAGATAAGGAGAGAGTGGGGAGGGGAAGAGAAGAGAGAGAGAGTAGGGAAGAAAGGCAGAGAGAGGCAGGAGAGAGAGAGCCAGGTAGGTGATATTGACAGAGCATAAGCCAGGGATATTTGGAGGAAAATAAATGCCACTTGTAGCTTCGTTGATTACAGTATCTTTACAGATGAGGACAAGGTAGTCCTTGAGTTTATTACTGAAGTATGAGAAGAGGGATCTGGTAAGAGTCCAGCATGCAAGATGGCTCCAGAGCAGAGCTTAAACCCAACACACTTCCTCTTATTCTCCTTATCCACATGATCGCCAACAAGGGTGAAAAATGATTAAATTGCTTTTCCCATGATAAAGATGTCTGATGAGGCTAACTTGAGCTTTCTAAAAATGAATACATTTAAAATTAAAATATTTGCACCAGATGGAAAACAGACCTCAGAGGAACTAAATTTTCTTTGTGGAGAGAGAAAAAAAGAAATCCTCTCTCAAACACTACTGACATGCTCTGAAAGTTAAGGGGAAACAGTCTTACCAGTTTGTAGAAAATTGCAAAAGCAAGGACGTAGGTATCTTTGCTGAACTTCACATCTTGGTTTTTCATCTCTATCAATACTTCTGAAGCACCTGTCAAAAGTGAGGGGTAGATCAACAATATTAGATGAATTTTAGCAAAGTCAGAGTTCCCCCACTGTTGGCTACTGAAGCTCTCATCTGTTCACCATCAACTAAAAAGTATATTTCAACACACTAAAAGCTACTTCTCAAAGTCAGTTAGCTATTCACTAAATGTTAAAATAAATTATCAGGTCATTCAGGAAGAACTAATATTTTTACATGTGCTATAATTTTAGCATAAATAAAATCTAGAATCATTAGTTTAAGGCATGGCACTCAATGCAATGTTTTCAACTTCAAGAATGAGGTCTCCATGATTCAGCCACTCATCAGAAATATAAGGTCATTTCTGCATCGGCCCTTTCCCCCCTAATTACTATACCAGCAAAGGCAACAGAATTTTTCAGCAAACATAAACTGCAGTACTTACTTTCATATTCACCCTTCATAAATAACATATCCATCAAAATATTGTATGATGTGCTGTCTGAGAAGAAACCTCGTAAACTCTGATAAAGAAGAATAACACAGATTGGTTAACAGTTAAAACTATTTATACTGTTAGCTTACCTATCCAGGTTTTCTCATCCTGCATACTTTATTCATTTGGCCTTCTAAATTCTTTAACAAACTGATGCATCAAGGATTTATTTTGGAAAAAAGTTAAAATGCTGCCCCCTCTCTGCTGAGAGAATGGGAACGGGTACACTCAACAAGAAGCAAGATATCCCTGGGCTTCCAAAGTATAGTGAAGATGTCTTTATGAAACACAGCTCTGCCATGCTTAGGAGAAAAGAAAGGAGCCAATTAATCCTGGAAGGGTGGTCCTTCAACCTGGGCCCCAACTATTAACAAAAAATGGCACCTATAAATATACTTGAGGACTGAGGTAAACAGATAATACTGAATTGATTACTCGCTTTTTGAAATAATTTACTGAAACAGTAGTTTTCCGTTCTTTCTTTCTTTTTTTTTTTTTGAGACAGTCTTGCTTTGTTGCCCTTGGTAGAATGCCATGGTACAATAGTTCACAGCAATGTCATACAAGCAGGCCCAGAGGGAAGTGAGCAAGGGGACAGTGGGAGGAGAGGAGACTGTCCCATGGAAATATATTAAACCACCAGTGTGAGCTATATCTGTGATCCTAAATTTTCAAGTAGCCTCATTTTAAAAGGTAAAAGGAAATAGATTATTTAACCCTCTATATCCAAGACGTAATTTCAACATATAACCAATATAAAAAATTATGATGATAGTTGACATTCTCCTTTTTATATGATATTCAAATATATCATTAAATGTGACTTGCTCAAGTTTTGTTTTCTTTTTTGAGTATTATCCACACAGAATGGATAATCCATCATTTTACACTTAGAGAACAGGTAACTTTGAACTAGCCATAGTCCAAGGGCTTTGTAAGTACATGTGGCTAGAGGCTACCACGTTGGGAGCACTGTAGGGCTGAGAGTAGGAAATACATGTGAGGGCAAAAGCAGAATCAGGCCTTAGGTCACCTGCTCTAATTCAGTTCATTCTACTGCAGAAAACTTTAACTTACACTTAAATTCTTCATCTACAAGTAGGTTAAAAAACCCCTTTTCTTTCACTTTATTTTTTATTCCTGTTTTTACCATCATACTCATAGCTAAAATTTAATTAAAAGAACATCAACATTACGTTATACTACATATCACATTAACATGTTTATTAAATAGTCAAACAATACAAAAATGTATAAAGTAAAAAGTGAGAATTTTGTACAACTCTACTCCCAAAGAAAAGCAGTGGTTTAGTGTGTATCTTTCCAGATTTTTTTTTTTTTTTTAGAAAAAAATAGGATCAAACTATCTGTATTATTCTGAAACCATCTTTTCTCTCCTTATGGATATGAGCATCTTTCTAGCGCACAGGTGTCCTTAAAGAAGGGCAAGCCTAGGTTAACAGTTTGGGAAAGAGTAAGAGGCAGAAGAACAACTGCACGCAAATTCCTAAATGTGCTAAAATATACCTCATGGCCAGCCTCAGCCCCCAAATTTAACAAATGTTTCTGATATGGGGGAACAAGTAAAATCAAACATGGAAGGCGCGTAGGCACAATGCTGAGAACACAGTAAGCATTCAACCAGTAACTGCAAAAATATTGATTTTTGTTTTTAGGGGGAAAAACACATCTGTGAAAGCATTTTGAAAACAGAAAAGCTCTTTACAAATATAGTCTTCAATCAGAAATAAGAATACAAAGCAAAATTGAAAGAGAGCACAAGTGAAGGACAAAAATGTCAGTCTTTTTTTTTTTTTTTTTTTTTTGAGACAGAGCCTCAAGCTGTCCCCCTGGGTAGAGTGCCGTGGCATCACAGCTCACAGCAACCTCCAACTCCTGGGCTCAAGCGAGCCTCCTGCCTCAGCTCCCAAGCAGCTGGGACCACAGGTGCCTGTCACAACGCCCAGCTCTTTTTTGGTTGTAGCTGTCATTGTTGTTTGGTGGGCCTGGGCTGGATTCGAACCTGCCACATTAGGTGTATGTGGCTAGAGCCTTAGCCACTTGAGCCACCGGTGCTGAGCCAAAAACATCAGTCTTAAAATGGCAGCATGCCAAATTCTTCTCCTCTGAAAGCTCCTGTGAGAAGATGTGTTGACACACATCCAGAATAGGTAGACACCCTGTAATCTGCACCTGCACCTCGTCCACACCTAACTTATACCTAATGTATAGAGCCCTACACCTCTTCACATGAACTGACTCCAGGGACTTTAAAAATAATTGCAGAAGCTCACTCATTCGGTTGGGTGCCCCCTCTCTGAAATTCTAACCCAGGAATAAGGTGTATGGAAGAGATGCCTTTCCCAACATCACCAAAACATGCTATCATGTTAGCAGTGAAAGCAATCGGGAAACAATAACCTGGTCTTTGATGAGTGCCAGGGCAGACTCCTCAAGGTTCAACTCATAACACAGCCTCATGAAAAGTGGTCCAAACTTATATTCTCCCAAAGTGAAATTTCTGTTCTCTGCATGGTACCTGTAAATAAAAATGATTCAATGAGCTAGAAGGTACAACACAGGAAAAAGGACAGACACAGATAGTGTCTCCAGGTGCTATGGAGACAATAAAGAACGAGGCACTCTCTGGGTCTGAAAGGAGAAAAGGGGAGCCGTGAACAAGCAGAGGAATCCTGGAGTATATTTGTAATCAGGCACAAAAAGATTACATCGACATCTGATAGTAAAAATCATAATCAGCTTTCTGGAAACATCTTGAAGGTTAGGGCTTCATGGACTCCTCCGGGGTGATTTTGCTGTTTCATTTTCTCTGTTCTCATGTTTGACTCATATTTCTAAAGTATACCAAGGAAGGGGGTGGGGCATAATGCGTGTTCAACCCACAGCCAACAAATGCATTTGCAATTTACAGCAATCTAAGCTTGGGGAAACACACATATGCATGCTATGATCACCTCGCTAAATAAGTTTAAGTTTTGAAATTTTTCATTTTAAGAAAAGAATAGTTTTAAAGACAACAATGTCTTATACGTGGCTTGAGATTTCTATAGGAGCCAGTGAGAACTGCAGAACTGTAAACCACCAGTGTAAACTTTGTTTCTTTCTTTTCTTTTTTTTTTTGAGACAGAATCTAAAGCTGTCATCTTGGGTAGAGTGCCATGGTGTCATACTTCACAGCAACCTCCAACTCAGGCTCAAGCAATCCTCTTGCCTCAGTTTTTCTATTTTTAGTAGAGACAGGGTCTCGCTTTTTGTTAGGCTGGTCTCAAACTCCTGAGCTCAAGCAATCTATCTGCTTCAGCCTCCCAGAGTGCTAGGATTACAGGCGTGAGCCACTGCGCCCGGCCTAAACTTACTTTCAATCATCAACTCTTTCTGCTTTAGACACCAAGAGGACCATCAGTTGGAAAAAAGAAGCAACTCATCATTATAATAAAATCAGATCTTAGGATAATTTATTCATTATGCATCTCCATATTCATATAAATTCACGTAACAAATGATCCTAAAATACCATGGAGAAAAGCTCTGACTTTAAACAACAGAATACATTTTTTCTTCTGCTAAAAATCACCAATGAAAGTCAGAGTAGCATTATGGCTAGTCTATTCTAAATGTAAGTACTGCTAAATAGAAAGAAGATGTGTACTTTTAAAGACATATTTCATGATTCAATTACAGAAGTTACCGATAATATTCATTGCCTCATTACAACACTTATCAAGTTATCAGAAGGCAAAATAGTATAATGATTAAGGGTTTTTAGACTGTGGTTCCCAATTGATGGTTCAAATCCCAAACTCTTCTTGTTACAAACTATGTAACCATGAGCAAATTAATTAGCCACTTTGTGTCTCGGTTTCCTCATCTGTAAAATGAAAGAGTTCTTTTTGTGAGGGTTAAATGAGGCGATGCATCTGGCACATAGCCAAGTCTTCAATACATGTTAGCTTTTATAAAGTGGTAAGGCATGCTAAGGAAAGCATCTTCAAAAGCCAACATATTTCAGTAAATAGTCTCATAAGAAACTTGTGCCAGATTAAAAACAAAAGAAAGCAAAACCAGAAATTTTCCCAATCTGCCATTCACATTGTAAATGGCATTCACACTAATAAAAGTGCTAGAAAGTCAAAGAAATAATGGATCGCCTTCTCGATAAGAAATATTCGACTAAGAGGATCAAAAACCCTCTCTAAACAACACGACAGTATTTGGTCAAGATTATGAGGGGATTAAGGTGCTCCTCATTTGGGGGTCAACAAACAGTGTATGTTTCAGTTCATGACTCCCCTTTCCCAGAGTGGGCTGCCTGACAGAGGGAGAGAACAGGATGGTTAACCCATGGGCCCACTCGTCTTCCCACCTGCTCAGCTGTCCACAAGCAGGGAAAGGGCAACCACTGGGCAAAGAGTTATTACATCAATAAAGGAATTATAAGTCGTACTTGAATGTTTATGATGACGAGCAGAAAAGTGTTCAGAATTTTTATCTCATCCTACTATCCTTACAAATGCCTATAATTTGGGGTAGAAAAAGAGCGAGAGGACAACAGCCCAGAGGATCTTAAATGACTTAACTTTGTGAAAGTGAAATATAGAAATTAGGTTTGCTGAAATAGTGTGGCTGTAAATTAGCATAATCATTTTGGAAAATAATCTAGCAGTTATAAAGTTTATAACAAAATGAACCGGTAACAAAATATTCATAACAAAATGCATAGGGACACAGTTAATCAAAATATCTAACATACAATGGAATAGGATATTGCCATCAAAATATGATTCCTAAGCATATAATTAACAAGAAAATACTTATGTTATAATATTAACTTAGAAAATGAAAAAATTGTATCACATATAGTAATTATTATAACTATGTCTACCAAACCCACAAAGTCTTTGCATAGAAAAAATAACCTACGAAAAACATATGAAAATATTAACAGTGGTTGTATAGACATAGGAGATGGGCCTCAGAGATGGCTGTCACCAATCTTCCCTTCCTACATAGGCATGCTGCTCTATCCACCCAGAGGTAGAATCCATTTCTCCTTGACTTTGGTCAGCTCCAGTAACTTGCTGTGAACAGGAGAAGGTGTGCAAATTCTGGGCAGTTCCACAAGCCCACTAGCTCACCTGTGCTGAGGGCTAAAGCTGAATGAATAAAGGATGAGGCACTACAGGGAGGAAGGGAGAGGCCACGTGGAACAGCACTGAGGCATCAGAAACACAAGAGAGGCCTTCTTAGACCTTGCAGCACAGCCCAGTTACCCGCTGGGTACGTTGCCTTCAGCCAGCACCAACAAAGAGCTGCCCAGTAGAGAAGAGACTCAAATCCTGACCCACGGAATTATGAAAAATAATAGTCAATATTCTAAGCCATTAAGTTCTTGCATGGTTTGTTATGCAGCAACAGAATCTGAAACTGTATCTGTGATATATACTTTTTCTTTCTACTGTTTTGGTGTTTTTCAAATTTTCAGCAGATTTAATTTGATTTTTTTTTTTTTTACTTTAAAAGTAACATTAATATTTTTTCATATAAAATTAAGACTGCCCATTATAGACAAGTTTGAGAAATCAGAAAGATATACACTTAGACAACCAAAAAAATATATAATTCCCAGAGGACAGTTAACTCTAGGTATATAATCTTCCAGTATTCCCTATATGATCATCTTGTATTTCTCTCTATAAATATACAATATAAATACAGGTCCAAATATGGAAATGCATCTTTAAAGAATGGCGAAAAGGGCTCGGCACCTATAGCACAGTGGTTACGGTGCCAGCCACATACACCAAGGGTGGTGGGTTCAAGTCCTGCCCGGGCCAGTTAAACAACAATGACAACTGCAACAAAAAATAGCTGGGCGTTGTGATAGGTACCTGTAGTCCCAGCTACTTGGGAGGCTGAGGCAAGAGAATAGCTTAAGCCCAAGAGTTTCAGGTTGCTGTGAGCTGGGACACTACAGCATTCTACCAAGGGCAACAAAGTGAAACTCTGTTTCCAAAAAAAAAAAGAATGGTGAAAAGCCACTGTTGAAGCAGCAACTGAAGCCTGTTGATTTGATGTCACACTGCTCCCTGTTAGGCGAAACCTTTGCTGGCTTTCCCAACAGCAGGCGATAATTACATCTGAGTTCTCTCTGACACAGGAAATTCTAATATGGGATCAAAAAAGGTTCAAGAGGCATAAAACTGGAGGAGGAAGAGTCAGCAGTGCAGTGATCCGAGTGAGAGATACTGAAGCCTGAACTAAGACACTGTTAATAGGGGTGAAAAGAGAAGGGCTAGAGATGAGAGAAACCAAGTGGAGGTTCTTAATAACAGGAAGGAGAAGCCATGAGATTCGGGGTAAGAGGCTCCAAATTATCTGCCCTGACTGACTAGACAGGGAGACAGAAAACACAAGAGGAGGCATAAATTTGTACATGTGGAATTTGAAGCCCCACGGGATAGTGGAGTTAAGTGAATAGGCTGGTGATTTCTTCAGACACAAATTATCTGTTTTTCTATTCTCAGCACCTGGCATGTAGTAAGAATGCAATAATTATTTTTTTGTCTTTCAACAAATGAAAATAAATGCCTAGAGGCATTTGTACAAGAGTTCTGGAAGTCATCAGTACAGAGGCTGATAGTTAAAATCTTGGAAATGGATAAGATTGCTCAGGGAAAGAAAACGGCAAGAAGAGATGACAGTGGAAGAATTTTAAGGAAATGCCTCACCTATAAATGACACGTTTAGCCAGTTCCATGTCATCCCGGGACTCACACAAATGAAGCAACGTTCTCAACTCCTCCTTCAAGATAAGCTTGTCCTGGGTCAATTTCTCTTCCCACTTTTTAAAATAGGTTTCTGGAAGAAAGCACAGTACAGTGCCCATCACTGAGGCTGACTAGGATCGTGAAGAGTCTGACTTCAGGGAGAAGCAGCTCCTCACTAAACCCACTCACTGCCAAGGGCATGAGAAGGGCTCAGACACACAGCCCCCATCACTAGCTGATCGCCTTGAGAGCTGCTGTGTGTCAGCAGACAGCCCAGGCCCACTCAAGACTTTCTTTTTTTTTGAAACAGAGTCTCATTATGTTGCTATCGGTAGAGTGCTGCGGCATCCCAGCTCACAGCAACCTCAAACTTCTGGGCTCAAGTGATTCTCCTGCCTCAGTCTCCCAAATAGCTGGGACCACAGGCATCCCCCATAATGCCCAGTTATTTTTTTGTTGATGTTGTAGTTGCCATTGTTGTTTGGCAGGCCCTGAGCTGGGTTTGAACTCACCACCTCTGGTGTATATGGCTGGTGCCCTAGCCACTGAGCTACAGGTGCTGAGTCAAGACTTTCTGGCTCGGCGCCTGTGGCTCAAGTGGCTAAGGCGCCAGCCACATACACCTAAGGTGGCAGGTTCAAATCCAGCCTGGGCCTGCCAAACAACAATGATGGCTGCAACGAAAAAATAGCCGGGCATTGTGGCGGGCGCCTGTGGTCCCAGCTACTTGGGAGGTGGAGGAAGGAGACTCACTTGAGCCCAGGAGATGGAGGTTGCTGTGAGCTGTCATGCCACAGCACTCTACCCAGGGGGACAGCTTGAGGCTCTGTCTCAAAAAAAAAAAAAAAGACTTTCTAAAACAGAATCCCTGGAGTAGGTTTGGTGGGAGAGGAGAGATACCAGTGAGGGCACAGGGGCTAAACAGGGTTAGAGAAACAGAGGTGGGGGCATTCTAGGTATTAGCATGAGTAACAGAATAGAACTGGAGTGAAAGGTGTGGAGGGAAGAGCTGTGACTAGATTAACAAGAAACTACACTGGACCCAGTGAAAGGGTAGGATCCAAAGAGCTGGGAAGCCAGGGGGGTGAGTATGTATGTGCATCGTGTGGCATACAACATAGTACCCTGGGAGTTCTTCAAGTGACAAAAGGCTGGCAGGATTTTATAAATAGCAGTCTAACAATGGAGTAGATTGGCAGTGATTATGTTAACTGCCTTACGGAACATGTGCACAACCGTACAGTCTTATGAAGACAATGACAATTGGAAATGATGACTAGACAATGACCTGGAGCCTTAATTGCAAACCTCACATAGCTCCAAAATACCTGGGGTAAAAAGAAAGGACTGAAGTGAAATCTAGACTGAGTCTACTAAAGCAGTGATATTCTCTCCCTGGGCCTAAGGATTACCTTTCTGTCCTGTAGGGAGTGTTGTGTGTTAATATGATTAGTGGAGCAGGAAGGTACCCTGATTCTGGAGGACTGGACTGTGAGGGAATGGAGACAGCAAGTGCTAGTCAGGTGCTCAGAGACAGGTGGCCGTTAGAGGAGGGAGAGCTGGGCCTGGAGCTGACAAAGTCAAGAGGGATAAAGAAAAGTCCTTAAGGCTGGGTGTGGTGGCTCATGCCTATGATTCTAACATAACACTTTAGGAAGCTGGTGTGGGTGGACTGCCTGAGTTCAGAAGTTGGAGGCCACCCTGAGCTAGAGCGAGACCCCATCTCTACTAAAAATAGAAAAACTAGCCGGGCATTGTGGTGGGCACCTATAGTCCCAGCGACTGGGGAGGCTGAAGGCCAGGGGATCTCTTGTGCCCAAGAGTTTGAGGTTGCTGTGAGGTACACCACCACGGCGCTCTACCCAAGGTGACAGAGTAAGACTCTGTCTCAAAAAAAATAAAAACACAAAGAAAAGTCATTTAAAAAGTCTTAGATATGTTCATAAAGCAGCTTGAAGTACTAGGAAAAACTTGATGTGTAGGAGGGAGGGAATAAATGCAAAATGATTTCTCAGATGCTGAACAAGAATAGAATCTAGGGTGGTATTCTTATGTTTTCAGCTTTATTATAATAAATATGCAAACATACCCCAAAGTAGAGAGAACAGTATAATGATAGTTCCCTTAAGTGCCCATTACTTAGCCTCAACAATCACCAATATTTTGCTAATTTTGTTTCCTCTACACTCCCCAAACAAGCTGGATATTTTTCTTTTCTTTTTTTATTGAATGGAAACTATGTACATTAATGCACTTCTGGGGTACAGTGTGGGGTTTTCACACACAATCCGAAACACTTCCATCAAACTGGTTAACATAGCCTTCATGTCATTTTCTTAGTTATTATTTTAAAACGTTCACATTCTACTCTTAGAAAGATTCACTTGTAGCCTTGTAAGCTGGATTTTTTTCAAAGCCATCCCCAGATTTCATATTATCAAGTTTCTCCTGTTTAAGAAATCTTTGATCATACTGATTAGTTCAGCACAGAATGAAAACTATTAATGCATTACCACACAGCACTTTTGTTTCATTTGATTTCATTTATATGTAGATACGTTTGTATGTACTGGAGATGCAACCTAAAATGCAGTTTTCACTGAAGGTTCTACACAAAGTTTGAAAGCCAGTCCTCTATGGTCCTTCAACTTTATTGTACGTATAAATCGTGGCCTTTCTACCCGCATTTCTATCAACCACCCAACAGAGGCTGATGCTGCTATTCCTAGAACCACACTTTGAGTGACGTAGATCTGTAGATCTAGAAAGGACTATCCGTAGCACTAGGTTTAGTCTTTCTTCAGGATCATGGGGGATGGTGTTAGGTAATTGCCCCAGAAAGCCCCTTCCTGCTTTCAAACAGACCAAGACTAGTTGTCTCACTCTTAAAGTTACAGCTCCTTTCAACAGGGAGTTGCCCGCTGAACATCTCCTTATCTCCCAATCATAAAACTTACCTCATCCAATTACCCACTGAAAATTTCAAACTTATGGCCCGTCCCCAATGGCTCTTCACACCAGAGCAGTAACTCCTTATTGGCTATTCTACTATCCGGTCACCATTCTAAGACTTGCCCTAACCGAACCTATATAAGGGTGCGCTTTTCTTTTGATCTCTCTCTCCTTTCTCTCCTCTTTTCTCTTCTCTCCTCCCTCCTCCTTGGTGCTGCTCTGTAGCATCCCTCCCTCGCCAATAAAGACCTTTTGGACAAACCTCGGGGGTCTGTGAGATCTCTGCCGGTCAGTCGAGTGCAGCCCTTTCAGACAGGATAAGAGGAGAGCTGTAGACTTTATAGTAGTACAATGTGAGATGAAAGGTGAATGTAGATTAGGCATCTAAGAATAAATGGTCTCAACTTTTTCTGAGACATAGGGTCACAGAAGGAGACACTGAACAGAGAGAAGATAGAGGAAACCAGAATGACAGATCTATGAAAGAATTAACAAAATAGATTCTATTACCTTTGGTGCCAGGAAGATTATGGGCAACAGTCACCTTGTTATGCTGAAATTCTTTTAATTTTATAATATTATCGGTAAGTAGGTATCTTCTAGCTAAAAATTAGAGAAAGAAAAAAAGTACAATCATTTTGGCTGTTTTATAATTAGCAAATAACTTAAGTAGAGCTTGATTGCCTCTAGTTAATTGATCTTATCCTCATCTGCTATAAAAGATCCATACAGACAGGTACGAATATGACAGTAACCCCAGTGTGGGGGGAAATTCTGAGAAAGCAAATCCTCGGCAAGAGAATTTTTGTGTGTGAGAAAGGAGGTAGTAGTGTTTAATTCTATGTGGGGATTGGTAGACAGGACACTGGGATGTGAAGGACCAACAGGCATTTGCCATGTGGTTAAGGGGTAACAAGGGCATAAAAAAAATAGCTATCATTTAAATGCAAATCTCTTTTTGGTTTTTTTTTTTTTTTTTTTTGAGACAGAGTCTCATTTTATCGCCCTCAGTAGAGTACTGCAGCGTCACAGCTCACAGCAACCTCCAGCTCTTGGGCTTAGGCAATTTTCTTACCTCAGCCTCCCAAGTAGCTGGGACCACAGGTGGCCACCACAACGCCTGGCTATTTTTTTGTTGCAGTTTGGCTGGGGCTGGGTTTGAACATGCCACCCTCGGTATATGGGTCTGGCGCCCTACCCATTAAGCCACAGGCACTGCCCTATTTCTGGTTCTTATCTCAAAAGAAGCACACCCTGCAAGGTCTCCTAAAAGTGGCCCTTAAAGTTGCCAAAGGAAAAATGGGAAATTGTAGTTGATTGTATTTTTATATACAAAATATTCATAATAAAATTTTAAAAAATATTCTCTACATGTTGGCCACCTCTGTAAAATTTTGTAATGATTACTTTATAAATAAAGGTGCATTTAGCTACAGTTTTCCTTTTTTTCCTTTGCATGGCAACTTAAGGGGCAACTTTTAGGATACCCTATATAAGGGAAAACGCTGAACTGTAACCGCTGCAACTCCCAGTTTTGTTATTTATGACATGTGGGGGTCATGGCTCTCAGATCTGTACTCTAGAAATCCTCATGATACATCAGCAACCACTGATCAAAGCTTGGTAGATTTAGGAAACATCATCCTTTTATTAGGATCCTCAGCTGTGAATGAGGTAAAACTGGTGAAGTTTGGCCAAAGAATCACCCACTAAAAATCCTATTCTATGTGCTGTAGTAACAAGTGACAATAAAAGCTGCAGTTTATTTATGGAAAGGCAGTCCAGGGAAGTGGTAAAGAACCAGTAGAGTCCAGGTCCCTACTACTGGACATGTTCAAATTCCACCTGTACCAGTTAGTTCCCTCTGATCTTGGGCAAATTACTTAACCTTACTGTCTCCTCCTCTGTAAGTGTAAGAAAAGAACCGTACCTCTTGCACTGGGTGTTACCTCTAAAGGTGAGGAATTAATGTAAGCAAAATGCATTAAAATAACACCTGACAAAATACTTTATCACTTTCAGATTTAATCGTTTTCATAAAAATGTCAAGGGATAATTTTGAAGATGGGACTTGCTCAAGATCTCTTAGACTGATAGAACTGAGGCTTCAAACTCGGGGAGTCTAAGACCACCACTCCCAAACACTGCAAAGAAAGGACACCCAAAGGAGCAAGAAAGTTCCCGGAGAGCAAGCTCGCTGCGTCTTAGGGAGTACTACAACCCCAGGGCCAATACCCCAGACATCCTTCTGTTTCCAGAAAATGGGGGTACATCCACGACGCCCAGAGGCCACTGTTGCATTTACGCACAATTAGAGAGCAAGGACGCTCTCCAGGGCAGTGTGCGACTGAGGAGCTGCGACTGCTCCAGAAAGATGCCTGCTGGGGTCTAACACTCCCTTCTTTCCCATGCCTCCCCTTCTCCCACAGGTTTAAGGTGCAATACCTCCAAGAGGGCAGCGGCAACAGTGGGAGGCCGAGCCTCCTGTCCCGGAATATAAAGAGATACGTAGCACCTGCCGCAGACCTTGTCCCGAGGGCCTAAACGAGGTAGCCATACTGTCCCGGACCGTACCAACTGCAGGATCCGGGAAAAGGAGCCCAGCCCCCAAGAACGCCGAACGGGATTCGTCCAATCCGTCTGTAACCCCGCCCCTTCCTCTGTCCACACCTCCCCCCAAACTTCTCCTTTTGGTACGTGCCAAGATGGCGACCCCCATAGTGCGGCGAGGATTCCTTCTGCTGCGAAAAGTGGTTCTGCCTCAACTATCCCCGGCAGGTTGGTGGCTGCTACTTTGGTGGGGCTGCTTCATTAGGTCCCTAATCACTCTGTTCTTTGAGTGAAGGGAGTGATGAACTTTCAAGAGCAGAGAAATGCTCCTGGAATCAGGTTGCTGGGAGAAACTGTTGGAGTGTTTGGTAACAGAAAAAGGAGATAAGTCTCTGATTTGCCTCCTTCCTTAAAATAGTAGTATCTGCGCATCCAAAGGTGTGAAAAGCTGAGGAAGGTTATATTTTACGTATGATATGCTGGATTTTTGTGTTAGCGTCGTTGGTGTTTCTGCAGACCACAAAAAACCCAAATGTGTCCACCCCTGGGGCTGTGACATTTATTTTCATTCTGAGGTTTTCTTGGAGGGGCGTCAGATAGACGATCCCCCCCACACACACACTTCACACTTGGCCAAACCCCTAGCCATCACTTCGGGGGAGAATTTTTCAGTACTAATCTCACTTTTTCTGATGACCTTGAGCACAACTCTTGATTGACCCTTTCGTTGCTATAGTTCGCCCCGTGTATGTAATAAATGATAATAGATAGTTGCAAAGTACTTTAAATTGAATGGCAGCCCACTCTCAAAGCCTGTTTGTAGGCCTGATGATGAAAACACTGGAAAAATGTATTGTTTGCGGAAGGCAAACTTGGAGTAATTTAAACCACAATAATCCTGACAGACATATTTGATTATATGATTAAAATGTAATAATCACACGATATTCCCAATGCCTATCTCCTCTTTCCAACGTACCTTCTCTAGCCCTTATGAAAAAACACTACACGCTCTTTCTAAAGCAGTCAAACTCTTGCTCACACTTCTTTAGAAACAACTATTAAATGTCAACATGAAACCTTGAAATTTTCTGAGGATTAAGTAGCTGACCTAGTGAAAATGGTTAATAACACACATTAGGCAAAGTGGTATACACAGTACTTGCCACCTCAATAAGAAAGAGCTGTTGTAGCTATTATTAGCATTTTAATTGTGATTACTAGCAATGTTTCTTAGTCTAAACAAGACCCTGGTATATTAGATCAGGAAGAGTATCATGGTTGCTTAAAATGTTTGGTGGCAATCCTTCTAACAGGGATTAGAAATCAGTAAGGGTGAATTGAGAGAATTTACTGTTTGCATTTTGGTCTTAGTCTGAATTGATGACCTTGTGTAGAAAGTTACATCTGTGCTTTTACAATATAATAGCTACTAGCTCATTAGCTACATTTTAAGTGCTCAGGAGGCACATGTAGCTAGTAGCTACTGTATTGGACAGCTTAGAGTGAAACATTTCATCACTGTCGAAAGTTATATTGAAAATAAGCATTGGGTTAAACTGTAGATGAAATTAGTCTTGCAATCAGGAACTGGAGGCTAAAAGGGAGGTGTTTCATAGGATAGTGCAGCATAGCCCACTTAGGATTTGGGGAGGCTGAAACATCTTGATGCAGTATAGGAGAAAGGAAAAGTACTCTACTTTGTACAAATTCACAACAAATCAATATTTGGAACACCAGGAAGTTTCTATTGATTCTCCTTATAACAGAATGGAGGAGGGCAGCTAAATGAAAGGAAAATTAACTGAGATGAACAAAAGGTTATTTAAATACTGGATAAGAAGAATAAAATTTACTGAGCACCTTTTACATAGTGGAACATGAGCATATGCCCTCACTTAAACTACAATACCAAAATAGGCATTATTTCCCCCATTTTACATATGAAGAAAGCAGCTCAGAATTGTGTAATTTGCTGAAATTTTCATAGCATTTGCTAGCAAGGCAAGGATTCAGAGTTAGCATTTGTGACTCCAATCACACTACTTCCCTTTGAGTAGAAGAAATGTTTGGAGACATTTAGTTAAAGGTCAAAATAACTATGAGATGTGTAAGGACATAGATAGAACCAGTCATTTTTCACCAAAGTTTGGAATTCTGGTTCTTAAGGACCTTTCAGAATTAGATGGAGAAAACATTTCTTTTTGTAATGGATAGTTATCTTAAAGAATATTGTTGTCCCAACCAATAGCTGACTAACTGAAAGATAAGCAGCTTCAACAGAAGTTTGTATAAACTCTTGAGTGGTGTATTCGGAGTGGTATTGACAGGCTTAGAGACCTAAATCTGTGAGACTGAGGTCAATCTGTCCCCTTGCTAATTCAAGTGCGGTGTGAAGACTAGCATCTCCATTATCACCTGGGACATTGTCAGAATGCAGACTGGCCCCACTCCAGACCTACTGAATCAGAATACGTTTTAATGAGACTAATATGCATGTTAAAGTTTGAGAATGTGATCTAGGTGTTCCACTTTGCTGTTGTCTACTCCACTTAAAGTTCAGTCTCTGACTTTTTAAAAATTCTTTGGTTCTGGTGTTAATATACAGACCTTCCTAGTAACCCACAGGGATGGAAAGAATTTTGTATGTTATCTTTTATAAAGTGTCCCAGATGAACATCCTACTTTAAAGGGCTTACAGAAAATGGAATGTCTTTTATCCACTGGGGTATATGAAAAAAAGAAAATGGAATATCTGTCTTGGTATCTGTTTTCGTATTATTGCTGTACCAAGTTATCACGAAGTTAATGTTTTACAACACAGATTTATTTTTACAATTCTACCAGTCAGAAATGTGACCCGTATTTTACTGCACTAAAAATCAAGGTGTTGGATGAGATGTGTTCCTCTCTGTAGTCTCTAGGGGAGAACCTATTTTCCATATTCTAGAGACCACTTGCATTCCTTGGGCCATTGGTCCCCTTTCTTTATCTTTAAGGTGAGCAATGGCCAGTCAAATCCTCACTGCACTCTGTCCTGTACTCATTACCCTGACTGATAGATTCCTTTTTTAAAGGACCCTTGTGATTACATTGGGCCCACTTGGATAATCCTGACCACTCCCAATTTAAGATCAGCTGATTAGCAGCCTTGATTTCATCTGCAGCCTAATCCCCTCTGCCCTGTGAGCTGACATACTCACAAGTTCTAAGAATAGGACATGGTCATCTTTGAGGGGCCATTATTTTACCTAGCATACTTGGCAACTTATTTCTCTGTTTGTCATTGGTTTCTTTCTTTCTTTTTTTTTTGTGGAGACAGAGCCTCAAGCTGTTCCCCTGGGTAGAGTACTGTGGCATCACAGCTCACAGCAACCTCCGACTCCTACGCTCAAGTGGGTCTCCTGCCTCAGCCTCCCAAGTAGCTGGGACCACGGGCGCCCGCCACAACGCCCAGCTATTTTTTTAGTTGCAGCCATCATTGTTGTTTGGCAGGCCTGGGCTGGATTCGAACCTGCCACCTTAGGTGTATGTGGCTGGTACCTTAGCCACTTGAGCCACAGGCGCTGAGACTGTCACTGGTTTCTATTAGGAAAACTTTCTATTTGTCAGATTTAAATTCTTCATTCTTACTCTTATATTTTACATTATACCCTCAACAGAGATGGAGAATGACTACATTATTTCTTTTTTTTTTTTTTTTTGAGACAGAGTCTCACTGCTCTGTTACCCTCAGTAGAGTGCTGTGATGTCACAGCTCACAGCAACCTCAAACTCTTGGGGTTAAGCAATTCTCTTGTCTCAGCCTCCCAAATAGCTGGGACTACAGGTGCCCGGCAGAATGCCCAGCTGTTTTGTTGTTGTAGTTGTCATTGTGGTTTGGCAGGCCAGGTCTGGGTTCCAACCCGGCAGCTCCAGTATATGTGGCTTGCCTCCCTAGCCGCTGAGCTACAGGCACAGAGCCATTCTTTCTTTCTTTCTTTTCTTTTTGTTTGTTTATTTGTTTTTTGAGACAGCATCTTACTTCATCACCCTGGGTAGAGTGCCATGGTGTCCTAGCTAACAGCAACCTCCAAACTCTTGGGCTCAAGCTATCCTCTTGCCTTAGCCTCCTGAGTAGTTGGGACTACAGGCCTGTGCTACCACACCCAGCTAATTTTTCTGTTTTTAGTAAAGACAAGGTGTCACTCTTGCCTCAGGCTGGTCTCCATCTCCTGAGCTTGACCTCCCAGAGTGCTAGGATTACAGTTATAAATAAGCCCCTACACCCAGCCCCTATTATTTCTTTTAAAACAGAAAAATGCACACATATATGTATATATATATATAAATAAATGTTGCTGGACTTACCTTTTGTAAGTTGGCTAGTTCTGATTTATTTTCTTCTAGGCCCGTGTGGTTCCCTTGAGCAACAGCACACAGAGGGCATTCTGGGAGTTCTGTCTTTCCCCACCATCATCACCTCCCCAGCTTTTTATCCCCCAATTTAAAACTCTTGAGCAGTGATTTAGATATTGTCTTTTCTGGCTCCAGAATATAGAAGGGTAGTTATGTTAGAACAAAGCATATGCTAAAATAAAAACGTTGAGAACAAGAAATAATAAGTAGAGAACAAGCAAGTCGTTGGAATATAATCGACCCTCTGTATGTGTGGTTTCTGCATCTGTGGGTTCAACTGACTGCAGTTCAAAAATATTTTAAAAACAGTGAAAAATAACACTACAACAATTTACATAGCATTTATATTATATTAGGTATTATAAATAATCTAGAGATGATTTAAAGTGCACAGGAGGTTGCGTAGGTTATATACAGATACCCCACCACTTTGTATAAGGAACTTGAGCATTCTCAGTTTTTGTTGTCTGACTGGGAGGCCTGGAACCAACCCCTTCAGGATACTCAGGGATGACAGCGTGTAGCTTAACAGCCCCTTGGCTCATTCTCACATAAGGGAGGGCGACATGGTTCCTTACTGAAGGAAAGATCTTCCTGGTTTTAGAATTGAGAATTCATTTTGCATAGAAATGCTGCTGTCAATTATGAATGAGTTTTCTGAACTGATGCTTCTGGTTCTATGTCAAAGACCGTCAGAGTATACAGGCATCTTAGATATCACCTAGTTTAGCTTCATTTGCAAGTTCAGAATCTGAAAACTTTTAACAGCTGTAGAACTCAAACTAATACTCGGCTCTCCTTACTCCTGAATCAGTGAACAGCTATATACCTAACATAATGCCATTGGTTTTTTATTCATCCTTCCTGGTAGATCTAGGAACATGTTTAATAACATTGTTTCTATTGAAAATGCATTCTAAATTACATCTAATTTTTAAAATTGCAACCCATTTAAAATGTAAGCATTGAAATACTTATACAATTTTTATTTATTTACTTGTTGAGACAGTCTTACTTGGTCACCCTCGGTAGAGTACTGTGGTGTCATAGCTCACTGCAACCTCAAATTCTTGGGCTCCTGCAATTGTCTTGCCTCAGCCTCCCAAGTTAGAGGGGACTATAGGTGCCTGCCCCAAGGTCTGGCTATTTTTTAGAGAGAGGGCCTTGCTCTTGCTCAGGCTGGTCTTGTACCTGTGAGCTCAGGCAATCCACCCACCACAGCCTTCCAAGTGCTAGGATTACAGGTGTGAGCCACTTCGCCTGGCTAATAGTTACAGTTTTTTATACTTAAGGTAAGGAAAGGATTGGATTATATATAAATTCACACATATGTTTATATTTGCTTATTCTAGTTGGAAGATGGAGAATAACAATAATATTCTTACATTGTGTTTAATTAGCTCTCATGCCATCTATTAATGTTTGACTCTGTCTACTATGATATGTAGGTACTGTAATTATCTGCAATTCATTCCAATTTCTTCCTTTTTAAAAAAAGAGACAGGGTCTGCCCCCAACCCCCAGACTAGAGTGCTATAGTCTGATCATAGTTCACTGTAACTTTGAACTTCTAGGCTCAAGAGATCTTCCCATCTTAGCCTCCTGAGCATCTGGGGCTACAGGTGCATGCCACCACACCCAGCTAATTTTTTTAAAGAGATGAGGTCTTATTATGTTAGCAGGCAGGTCTCAAACTCCTGGCCTCAAGTGATTCTTCTACCTCAGTCTCCCAAAGTGCTGGGATTACAGGTGTGAGCCACAGCACTCAGCCCCCACTTTTTAAAAATGGAGTTATTAAGATAAAATACACATGCTATACAATTCACCCATTTAAAGTATACAATTCAGTGCTTTTAAGTATATATACAGAGTTGTGCAGCCATTGCCACAATCCATTTTAGGAAATTTTCTCCTCTACCCAAAAGAAATTCCATACCCATTGCAGTCACTCCCCATCAAGTTTCCAATCCCTACCCCTAGCCTTGGGCAGCCGCTGTCTACTTTCTGTCTATATAATTGACCTTTTCTGGAAAGTTAATTGGAATTATACAATGTTCAGCCTTTCATAATTGGCATCTTTTTCACTTAGCATAATATTTTTGAGGTTTATCAAAACCTGTTGTAGCGTAGATGTAGCATACCTCTTTTTTAAATTCCCAAGTAATATTCCATCATAAGGAAATACTATATTTTGTTAACCCATTTATAAATTGATGGATATTTGGATTGTTTCCACTTTTTCCTAGTATGTATAATACTGCTGTGAAGTTCTGTGTGGACACAAGTTTTTCTATAACCTTTTTCTTGGTTATATACCTGGGAGTGGTATTGCTGGGTCATCATGGTCACATTTTGTGGGACCTCCAAGATGTTTACTAAACAGATGCGCATTTTATATTTGTACCAGTAATGTGGGAGCTGCTCCTTCCTCTGCTCCCTCTCCAGCAGCTGTCATTGTCTGCTTTTTGATTATAGTCATTGTAGTGAGTGTGACGTGGTATCCCCACTTAGTTTTGTTTGACATTTTTCAGGTGGCAAATGATCTTAAGCATTTTTCCATGTGCTTTGTGACTATTTGTAAGTATGCATAAATATATTTTTAGAAATGTCTGCTCAGATCCTTTGCCCATCTTTCATTTATGTTTTATTTTTGGATTGTAAGAGTTATTTATATATTTTGGATACAAGTCTCTTATCAAATAAATGATTTGCAAATACAGTATTTTCTCCCATTCTCTGGACTATACTTTCACTTTCCTGAGATTTGTTCTTTGAAGCACATACATTTTTAATTTTTGATAAACTTGCCATTCATTCTTTCTCATTCATTCCTTGAGCTGATGTTTATTGAACATTGCCATAGGCCAGCAATGTGCCAGGTGCTGGGAATACAGCTGTGCCATTTTATGTGTGATCTCAAATTTGGTTTAGGGGGTTTCTTTTATTTATAGCTAGGATGCTGGGTCACTGGGTAAGGTACTATTTGCTTTATGTGAAATTGGGTCATAGATGTAGACTCAAGATGGAAATGTTTTTAGGGCTAATTATTATAAAACATTGATGAGTTATGCAACAGTCAGCAGGTGTTTTGGGGGGTCTTAGGAGTTTTGGAGTTCACTGGGCTATAATTTGGCAACAAATGGCTCCTAGCACTAAAGTTTTTGGTTTTGGTTTTTTTTTTTTTTTTTTTTTTTGCAGTTTTTGGCTGGGACTGGGTTGGAACCCACCACCTCCAGCATATGGGGCTGGCGCCCTACTCCTTGAGCCACAGGCACCGCCCAGCTCTAAAGTTTTAAGAACAAAATTATCAGCATTTTTACCCATAAAATTATTATGAAAGTCTTCAGTTTCTCTCCATCTTCTGCTTGTTAGAGGTCGAATGTATTTTGTCGTGAACTGAATTGTGAACTATATATACATTATTGGTTGCAGTATCATATTAGAGTTTTAAAAATATGTGGTGTAGTAGTTGAAAATAGGACAAAGGTATGTTTAATAAAATAGATATATAAAGTGAACCATGCCTGTTTAGATAATTGTTTTTTTCCCCCCAGGTAAAAGATGCCTGCTTTCTGCAGCATATGTGGACAGCCACAAATGGGAAGCAAGAGGAAAAGAACGATATCACCTTGGTGGGTACCTGTTAGGCTATCATGGGTCATTTTCAGTCACTCCATAGGTTCGCCATTACCTACTCATATGATGTAGGTATGAAATTATGCTTTTATGATGATTCATTTCAGCTAAGCACATTTTAATTCTTAAGAAAAGAATTAGACTTTTACACATGGTAAAATCATTTCTGTTGTCTCATACATTTCTAAGATTTCATTTTTGCCTTGGTGATTAGTCTCCCTAAGTTAGGTAAAGAATTCTTTTCTTTTTTTGTCCATTTTTTTCATCTGGTTTTCATGCAGCCTGTCTCTGTTTTACAGAATTTTGTATTTTATACTTTCCTCCTTTTTATTGTCAGTTTCTTTACTTTCCTACTCCTCTTGTGGTTTTCAGAGCCTTTTCTGGCTCTTCTGTATTTCATTACCAGTTGATAGGTTTGAAAGCCATGTTGGAATTTCATGTAGCCACTGAGTTGGCTAACATCTTCCCAGGCAGTAGGCTCCTGATTATACTTGTTTTTCCCCTGTTCTCTATGTCATATTACAAAGATAACAGCTTTTATTTTATTAAATACTGAGGCCCAAAAGAAATCACGACCCTATGAGCACTTTCTAAAAAACATACATACTTCAGACTTTTGGCTCCACTTGCTCTTTTGGTATATATAACATCATCAGGACATTGATAAAGTAAATAGATTTGTGATAGTTTTAAGAGACTGATGTAATTTTTGGATTGATTTCAGTGCTGATCTAATATTTTCCCCCAATTTCTTTCACTATTTTTTTTTTTTTTTTGCTAATGTCAGATTAGAATAAAATCTCCTGTGTTTATATATTCTTCCTGAAAGTTTAGGGAACATTGCTATCAGTAATGTCTACATTATTGGGGTTTTCAAAGAAATCATCATTTTGATTGTGAGCTCTGGAATAAGTATATGGCAGGGACCAGTCAAAATAGAGCTGTGGAAGATCTGAAGATGTGTAATCATAGCCTCTATAAGGAACTTACAGCCTCACTATAAGAAACCCAGGATAACCTTTTTATAACAGATACTTTATAATACTTAAAAAAAAAATCCCCAAATTAAATCCATACATATCATCTGTCGATACATATTTTAGAATACAAAGGAGAAAGGAAAGAAACTTAATAAATAATACGTACAAGAGGACTCCAAAAATTTGTAGAAAGATAGAATTAAAAGACAAAAAAAAATATAAACTTTCTATTTCAGCATAAGCTCCCTCAAGGTCAAAACATTTTAGTCTGTCCTTGAAGAACTGAGGGTTCTGGGCATTTAGCCACATCAATGTAGATATGTATATAAAAATGGCTAAAGAAAAATAGGTGCCCTTTAAAGATTTTTAAGATGAAGAAACAAAAAGAAGTCAGAAGGTGCCAAGTCAGGATTATAAGGTGAGTGCTTAAGGATTTTCCATCAAAACTGTCCAAAATTGCCCTCATTTATGAGAACAATAAGCAGGAGCATTGTCATGGTGAAGGACTCTTTGTCAAAGCTTCAGCTCACTTTCTTAAAACAGGCTTATGATAAGCAGATACTATTTGGTCCTCAGAAACTCAACAAGCACAATGCCTTGAGCAACCCCAAATCTTTGTTCTTGACTGGTCCTCTTTTGCTTTGACTGGACCACTTCCACCTCTTGGTACCATTGCTTTTATTGTGCTGGGTGTTAGGATTGTACTGATAAAGCTATGTTTCATCTGTTGTTACAATTCTTGGAAGAAATACTCCAGGATCTTGATCCTGCTTGTTTAAAATTTCTAGTGAAAGTTCTGTTCTTGTCTGCAACTGAATCTGGGTGTAAGGGTTTGGGAATCTATTGAGTAGAAAATTTGCTCAGCTTTAATTTTTCAGTCAGAATTTTGTAAGCTGAACCAGTTGAGCTGTCCAGAGTGTTGGTTATTATTTCTGTTGTTAATTGTCAGTCCTCCTCAAGTAGGGTTTGAACAAGGTTAATTTTTTTCTTACAAATTAATGTGGACAGTCTGCCATTGTGGGCTTTATCTTCAACATTATCTCTCCCTTCTTAAAAGGAGCCATTTATTTGTAAACTGCTAATTTCTTTGGGATATTGTCCCCATAAACTTTTTACAAAGCAGCAGTGATTTCACTGTTCTTCTGGCCCAGCCGCATCATAAATTTGATGTGATGTTTGCTCTTGATTCAATTTTAGCAGAATTCATGCGGCTCTGATGGGGGCTCTTTTCAAACTGATGTCTTATACTTCTTAGTGCTTCAAATTAGATCCTGTGCAGACATGTTATATTAAGGTAATGAGTTTATTTTGGTATAAAAAAATTTTGAGTTCTGTCATAGTTTTTTTCATAATACATATTTTCTTTGAACTTTTTGAAGCCCCCTCATATTTCAATATGTAAGTAAATACTTGGGAAAAACACTAAGAAACAGGTAGCTAAATGCTTGCTCTTAAGTGAGAATCACTGAACATGTAGATGGTTGTAGATGTGGTATACTGGTAAATTCAAATATTAGGAGGGGCATTATAATGGCATAATTTTACTTATAAAATTCATAGCATTTGGTAAAGTTCCAAATGATTCAAAGGTCTATCTTCCCTCAATTTATGTGGAAGTGCATTTATAGAAAATTCAGCTTATTTTCAATTAAGAAAAAAGTACTTCGTGTTTATATGTGCAATGGAGTTATTTCTGTTAATTTTAAACAGATTTTTCCAGTAGTGTAAAATGTCTGTCATTCACAGATGGCATAGTATGTAGAGCAATTAATTTTAACTTTTTTTTTTTTTTTGCAGTTTTTGGCCAGTGCTGGGTTTGAGCCTGCCACCTCCAGCATATGGGACCAGCACCCTACTCCTTTGAGCTACAAGTGCCTCCCCTAATTTTTTTTTTTAATTTTATTTTATTTTTATTAAATCATTGCTGTGTACATTAATGCAGTCATGGGGTACAATGTGCTGGTTTTATATACAATTTGAAATATTGTCATCAAACTAGTTAACATAGCCTTCATGGCATTTTCTTAGTTATTGTGTTAAGACATTTATAGTCTACATTTAGTAAGTTTCACATGTACCCTTGTAAAATGCACCATAGGTGTGGTCCCACCCGCCCCTAATTTTAACTTTTTATTTAGAAATAATTGTACATTTACAAAAAGATTACAAAGAAGTATCTACCTTAGTCTGTTTTCTGTTGCTTATAACAGAGTATCTGAAACTGGGTAATTTATAAAGAAAAAAATTCTTGCAGTTAGGGGAGGGTAGGAAATTCAAGGGCAAGAGACCATATCTGGTGAGGGCTTTCCTACTGGTGGAAGACTCTCTGCTGAGTGCAAACATGCCTCAGGGCATCACCTGGTGGGGGATCTCTTCTTATAAAGTCACTAGTCCCACAACCGTGATAATCTGTTAACCTATTAGTCCTTGAATGGATTAGTTCATTTATGAAGGAAAAGTTCTTATGACCCATTCACCTTTTAAAGGCCCAACCTCTCCATACTGCCATATTAGGAAGTAAATTTTATTGAGTTTTGGAGGGGACAAATATTCAAACCTTAACACTTACCTTTACCCAGATTTACCTGTTGTTACCTTTATGATCGTTTGTGTTTGCTTTCTCATTCTCTCTCTTATATTTATACACATTTTCTCTATATTATACACATTTAGTCATTTGAACATTTCTTGCATACATTATATAGCCCTTTATCCTGAATACTTTAGTGCATGTTACCTGAGATAAGAATATTCTGTTATATAACCATAGCACAGTTACCAACTTCAAAAATCTTAACATTGATATAATACTTTACTATTCATCTCATTATTTTGTCAGTTGACCCAAAAATGTCATTTTATAGCATTTTTCTTCCTCTAATATAGGATCCAGTTTAGGATATATCGCTTTTAGTTGTTAGGTATCTTTAGTCTCCTTTAATCTGAAATAGTTCCTTATCTTTGTTTTTTATGACATTGTCATTATTTTAAGAATCTAGTCTCTTTTTGTTTAAATAGATTATTCATCCTTTCAGATTTGTCTGCTATTTTCTCATGATTAGGTTGAAGTTATGCTTCCTCAGCCAGAATATTCTGAGTGATGTTGTGCCCCTGTGGGGGGAGGGGAGATCACATCAGGCCTACCCATACCATATGCCTTTGCTGGTCATGTCAGCTTTGATCACCTAGTCAACTATGTCTGACTTCTCCACTGTAGAGTTAGTGTTTCTCCTCTTTCTGACTAAGGGAGAGACTGTGGGGAGACACTTCAATACTGTGTGAATATCCTGCTGCTTATCAAAAGTTTCCTCTTAGATTTAGCTTCCATTCATGGCTTCTAGCCTGAATCTTTACTATGTTGCAAAGTGATGATTTTCCACCTCTTAACAGTTTATCCACATTTGCTAGTTGGCACCCAGTATTCTGCTGTAAGCAAGAACCTGTCCTTTTCTCTTTTCTCCTCTGTTATCATATATTATATTTAAAGCTCATTGATGCATAGATTTGTTTAAATGATTCCCTACAATCATTAATTATTTTGGTGGTCCAGTTGTCCCCGATTTGGCTAATAGAAGCTTTTCAAGCCGGCTTCCTTCCCCCCTCTCCAACCCCAAACCCTCCCTCTTTTATATCTTCCTTCCTTCCTTTCTCATGTAACAAGGCGTTCTGGGCTCATCTTGTACCATTTGTGACCTAGCCCTGGAATCAACCATTTCTGAGGAGTTCTGGTTCCATCTGGTGAGGAATGGCATAAGAAATCAAGATATAAGTGCTAGGTATGTTTTTGCTACTGTGACTTTTTGCTTCTTAGCCCATTCACTGTGACTAGACAGATCTGGGAAAAATTTGAATGCATATATACATATATATATTAGGAATAATGAATTCCTACCAGTACCTCCAATGTAAGTTCATTCCCACACGGTTCTTCCTTGCCTTCCTCTAGTCCACTGGTTCTCAACCTTCCTAATGCTGCAACCCTTTAATATAGTTCAAAGGGGTCGACCCACAAGTTG